AACCTCAGAAATTCAACTGATTTATTCAAGAGATCATAAAAATATTTTGCGCAGCTTATTTGTTTCATCATTGGTGGATGCCATTTTATTCTGTTTTGTTGGCTAGAACAGCCAGTAGGAAGCTGCACTAGAGGAGGAAAACTGTCAACATAAGGATGTATCGTTTTTATATAATACAAAGAAAGAAGCTGAGTACGTCAATGGAAAACTTGAATCAAAATTCCCTGGCTCAACTACTTCATGAAAGCAATGAAGTGTGTAGCATACGCTACAAATTTGAGGAACATGTTGTAATTTTAAAGGAAGAATCGATGTGCTGACGCAAAAAAGATGGGCGACAAAATCGTAAAAGTAATTATTTCTATTTTCCTTTACCCTATGTAATGCTGGGTTTCCAGTACAATCTTTTACCTTCATGAAAAAGACTTTTCTATTTTTTTATGTCTGTAATTTCCACAGCCCTGAATTCTGAAAAAAGAACTTTGAGAGAGCCCAGAAATTCTTCAGCGAGCGGCCAATGCCGCGCTTCTACTTCTTACATACCGCTTTCTCTGTTCCTTCTTCCTCCCCCCCCCCGCCCTTCTCCCCTTCTAAAATTTTCTATGACCGTCACTATGTAGTAAGCCTCAGTTTCCTCTACATTCCGATTTTTCATGAATATTTTAGAGGATCATGTTTTCTGGGGCGTCGCTGAGCCAATAATTCCAAAAAACTCAAAGAATATGGGAGTCGAAGCAAACTACAGTGGTTGGGTCAAAAAGCAACTCTATTTATCAGTGATGGTAGCGGACAGCATAATTTTCCAGCACAATTATACTAAAATGATTTTTAGTTCAGAACAGTAAAGATGTGTAAAAATGACAAACTGTCTGAGATAGAAATTTGCCAAATTAGTCGTTAGTTAATGACAAATCAGTATAAGAACTTTGAAGTTTAATCCAGTCTTAATTCAGATTGACAAGTGAAGATAATTTGTACTTATGAAAGTCTCCAGTTGATATTTAGGGAGTGTTTCTTCGACGGAGTAGTTACACTTCATAAATGGTTTATACGATTAAAGTGTCTCACCCATTGTTTATACTTTCTATAAATTAGCGAATTCCATCATCCGACTATACGGTGACGACGGCGACACAGATTTTATCAGCAAACACAGAGAATAACTTCAATTTGGTATCTTACAGGAAATGAAATTGAGGAAGGAAATGATAGTGCAACAAATTTTCCTTTTCCTTTTCCTTTTCTAGGTTAGGCTATGAAGGCTTTTCCAAACAATGGCGAATGCATCAAGTCTTAACTGCTAGAACTGATTTATGGCAACGATTTCGAGCGTGGCCCAAACCACAAAAGCAAGAGAATGCAACTCCTACTAGCAGAGTAGTTCTTCTATTATGCTTTCTCACCTAATGTGCGAATAGTTTTAAATAGAAAAGGTTTTCTTCGTACGCATACATCATCGGTGATGGCGGCAGAAAATTTTTTTGGAGACGACAACTGGTTATTTTCTTCTTTTGCAAGGCGGGCTGGCGCCACGTTTTTGGGGAATTTTCAAAAAAAGCTTTTCATTTTTTGCGAAATTTTCGGACTCGCAGTTCATATGGCAGTCGGAAGGCTACATTGGATTTTCCTCTATAAGATGATTTAAATATACATTGAGCATCTTCAAACCCCTTTTTAGGACCCTTTTTCGCTGCTGAAATCACCAACTTTCCCCCTTCCCCTCCTCCTCCTTCTCCTCCCCCTCCCAGGTTCATGATTCAGGTCTAAGGGCCGCATGCACTATCCCCGCGGGGAGGGGATCGCAGCTTAGAACAAAGCTTTATATTTCGAAACTCCAGATATCTGGATTTCACATTGTGTACCTATCCGTAAGTATTCCTACTACCCTTCACTATGAACATGTTGAAGCTGTAAGAACCGCATTTTCCAGCTTTTGTATGATCCCTGATGATCCCCGGCGCTTTTCTTTAAAGACATTTTTCTTTCTCCGAAGTTAACGAGTAACCTCCAAAGTTGTGCAGATTATCTAACCCGACAGTGCTAAGCATGTTGCTGATAAGAACAAATGATGTTTTGAAGTCACGAAATTTTCGATGATCCACAGGTCGAAATTTGAGGTTTACCGAAAAATTCGACTTTTCAAAAACTCATTTGTTCTCATCAGCAACATGCTTAGCACTGTTGTGTTAGATGTTCAATACAACTTTAGAAGATTTTCGTTAATTTCGGAGAAAGAAAAATGACTTTAAAGAAAAGCGCCGGGGATCATCAGGGATCATACAAAAGCTGGAAAATGCGGTTCGTACAGCTTCTCGCTCCACTGCAACATGCTCATAGTGAAGGGTAGTAGGAATACTAACGGATAGGTACACAACGTGAAATCCAGGTATCTGGAGTTTCGAAATATAAAGCTTTCTTTTAAGCTGCGATCCCCTCCCCAGCGGGGAGGTTAGTGCATGCGGCCCTAAATAGCGACAAATTTTTCAACCAAGTAGGAATGAAACAACTTGATTACTGAGGTGAAGACAATGGTACAAGATTTACAACAGTTTTTTATCTTGAGTTTTTTTAAGGGAACAGATTCTCTCAAGATTTGGAATTCTACATTTGTCAGAAGTCTAGCGCATACCATAGAAAAATTTCGCTGTTTTAAACCAGTTGTTATAGACAGAAACAGATCCTTCTCTTGCTTCTTGCGAAAATGACTACGTGATTGAAAGGAAGTTTTGGATCAAATCATTATCCAGCACGCAAATATTATAGATGCTTTGCTATTCTCTAGAAAAAAACATGAAATTGGCTTCACTTTTCTTCCCGGATCCGATAAAGATCCGAGAAGTTGACTGGGTTCGCTCAACTGCACTCATGAAGAAGAGCGGTAGTTTACAGAACCTATATACGTAAGGTCCAGTTTTCGTGGCCTCACCAAGTAATCTAAATTCCAAGACCCTGGGCTTGCTTTTCTGATCTGAATTGGCTACACAGCTGCCGTCGGTTTAGCGACCAGAAATATTTTCATTACCATAGAAATCACGTGATGGTTACAATTGCACGCTTTTCAGTGCTTTACCTATAGTCTCCCCTGACTCTGCAACAAAACCCATACTGTCAATTGACATTGATGAAGAATTCTCGCTCTAAGCATGCTTACAATTAGATCTTTGAAAGCAAGTTTGCCAGGGTTTCCGACCTGATGCGAATGAATGACACGCGGTCAATTGCACTGAAGATTAAAGGACGCAGGCCGCCCGCGACCTGCGTTTTATTCCAGCGAGGCTTTGATTCTCATTCTAAACATAATAGTATCTCTTCGATTTTGTAACCAACTCTTTATTCAGTAAGTAGGATGTGCATTCAACTTTATCCCAACAATTGGATAACCTTGAAAGGCTGTTGCCTACAGGGTCTGCCTATTCTCTTAGTTTGTTCTAGATTATCAACCATCGAGAACTCTTCCGCTATAGTGTCTTAATCCATCTGAATACTCATCAGATAAGTAATTTCCAATATAAGGGCTTTAATTCGCTGCCATTGACTTTCTTTTCATAGAGCGAATGTATGTGTTTTGTATCTAGTCAGTCTTTTTCTTGACACTCATTCTAAAATTCTGTTCTGGCACTGTTGGGTCTTATTTTTATTATGCAAAACAAAGGCAAAGAAAGAGACTTCCAAAAATTTGTGCAAACGCTACCTCAATTCTCCTGGGCAATTGAACCGGCGTGTGAGTACATGTAGGATGCGTCAGAATCCATGTGGTTAAGCCCTAGTTTGCTAGAGATTGTTAATGTTTAGAGGAAAGCTCTCCAAATATGAGTGTTACTATAGTTTTTGATCTCTCAGCTGATAGGTATACCTATCAGCTGAGAGATCAAAATGAGCTCAGAGGAAATCCACAGGCTGTTTTACATTAATCCATTTCATTGTCAACTATCGATCTCGACTTCAAAAAGATGGTAGTTGAAAGTCAGCCTATCTGGACCAGTGTAGTGAAGATGTTTTGACATCACGAGTAGTCACCATGGTGCAGTGCACTGTTCGTAAGGTTTTTCTCAGAATGCATGGTCACAACGTGACTGTTATAGTAAAAAAAATTTTTGTATAAGGTTGAGATTGTTTTTTTGTTGTGTGTATGCGAGATGGAGGCTGACTGAAAGCATTGATACACTTTTGCTTTGAGCTTATCAAATTCTTGCCTGGACTTCGATGTGTAGCGACTGGAGCGTTGAATATCAGCGTTTCAAGATGCATTTTTTACAAGCGCCATTAAAATTTTACAATCACCAAGCGTCTTGTAATTTCGTGTTAGATGTTGATTTTACGAAAACGAAAGCAGCCGCACAATAACATTCATAACCTTCTAGCCATACTTCTTACGTTCATCTAATACATACTTTAATCTTACCGGAGAAGAGCTTAAAGGCAGCGTACAGCCAAAATTTCACCTTCGATGTTTGTGTCATTCTGGGGCCTTTCCCTGCCCCTGATTACAGTTATGACATTAAAATTCTCCAAAACCCTCAAAAAACCCCGATTCTCGGGGACCTTCTCTCTAGAGGGAGGACGAGTTTTGAATTGGTCGACCCCGTCGGCATGCCAGCGAGGAGCAGCTGCAACTGCATCACAGCCTGTAGTTTCAACTGCAACTGCAGCGTATGTTGTCGTAGATTCGTTGCCTGAAGGAGGCGGACGCGCAAAAAGCAACTGCACTGCTGCAATTGCAGCTTACGCTGTCGTGGATTCGTCCGAAGGAGGCGGAGTGAAAGAAAAAGGGCGGAAAAGAAAAATCAGGCGGATTTTCTCCGCTCAGAAGCAACATTGGGAGATCGGACCAACACAGTTGGTCTTCTTCTGGGCCCTGTACACGGTATAGAGAACTGGGTAACTTAACTTTTGGGTGTACGCTGCCTTTAATATGCCATGCCATGAAATTAGAATATTTTGATTATTCATGTCGAGAATCTATCGTCGTTCCTTACATTATTCAGTTACCTTTTTTACAGATGCAAGCTGTGCAAGTTTTGAAGAAGTTACTTGATGATTACATGAAAACAACCCCGGAAAGGCTCAAGATCATTGATGCCTACATGCTCTACATTCTTCTTACTGGGATCATTCAGGTAATGCTTATAAAAAATTAAGTTGAGCTGCTCATGCTCCGTTTTTCAGTTCATCTATTGCCTCATTGTTGGAACGTTCCCATTCAACTCATTCTTATCAGGATTTATCTCTACAGTGACCTGCTTTGTGCTTGCATGTGAGTTTTATTTCTGACTGCGGAATCGTTTTCAAACATGGATTCAGAAGTGACTTGCAATTCAATTTCTTTTGACTAAATGCTTCATTTTAGCTTGTCTTCGCATGCAGGTGAACGACGAAAATAAGGCGGAGTTCTCTCACATTTCGACGGAGCGAGCTTTTGCTGAATTCATTTTTGCGCATGCTGTCCTCCATTTGGTTGTTATGAATTTCTTGGGTTAAAAAATCTTCTCTGCTTTCCATCTGTGATAGGGGATGTTTTTTGTCAGAATTTTGTTTAACGAATTTGGGCTCATTTGAATCGTTTTGGGAACTTATTAGGAGAGTTTTGTTATATTATTTATCAAAGTCATTTTTCTGTTGCGCATTGCATGTTGAGTGTTGTGTTACGAGGTCTGTTTGTAATAAATATTTTTTCATCTTTGAAGACGAGCTTTATTGCACCGTAGCAAAGCCGTCAATATCTTGAATCCTCTTACGCCAGTCTTGTTATCATTCATGTTTGTTACAGCTAAGCATGGGCTTAACGATGTATATGCGACCTCTTCGTCTTGTCAAAAATTCGCTGACTAACCCTGTTTAGTAAGTTTCTTTTTAATCATTTGGATTCATGTTCACTGCATGCATTTTTTAGCGCTTTTTTTTCTTTCTGGAAGCTTTACAGAGTTGTTCCGAAGGATGTAGTATACCATTTCCTCATTCCTTTTTAATTTTCTCACCAATACATTGGCATGCCGTAGGATATGCTTCTTAATGCAGCAAGCCACATTCCATGGTCACACTTTCCGCTTTTATATGTAAGACACTCGCACTTTGTCACATTTTTCATGTGAAGTTAGGTAATATAAATCTTGCCGAGTACATATTTCTGCTCCCTGCTACGCTTGCTCCGTGTAGTCTAACATTGCTTTTCTTTGCGTTCTGACGGCAGGAAAAAGTGGAGAATGTGGACAGCTGTTCAGCAACTCCTCTGACGACGTTGGCGTCGTTTGCAGAAAAATTCCTCTTCAATTGCCCTTGCATATCCACTAATTCATTGAATTTTTTCTCAAATGTTTGTGCGCTGAGCAGATCTTTAATTATCGTGGTATGTGGGCAGCAATTTCCAACGTTAGACGCTTACAGAGACGTCAGTAGAAGAACACTTTCACAATTTAGGGCCGCATGCACTAACATCCCTGCGGCGAGGGGAGCGGCGTCCCCAATGATGAAAAAGCCGCAGCAGCGTCCGCACGCGGTCCCTTCATAACGGGGGACGCCGCTCCCCTCGCCGCAAAAATGTTAGTGCATACGGGCCTTAGTCGTTTGAGATGGAACAAAGTGCCTTTACATGAAAGGGATACTGCAGTCCAGTCAAAGTCGTTCTCTGTTGCTAAGTGCCCTTTGTAAATAATGCTATAGCACTTTTCTTTGTTGACACAATTATTCGTTTTGCAACTCAATAGTTTCATGACACAGCTCCCATTTTCTGTTCGCTTCACCGGTTTCCTAATATTGCATGTTTTCTGTGGTTCCTTATGCTGTTGCTAGGCAACTTTGGCAGTTGTGGCGATTCATTTTCGATTTTCAGCTACCCTACATATGGAGCGTATGGGGCTACTGCTTTCTTGTTGGCTGTCTACTTCTGTGATTGGAAGACGGTTGGGCAGTATATCCCGTTGTGGAACAAGCGCTATAGAACAGACCAATGAAATCTTTGCTGTTACTATTTCCTAGTGCTTTGAGTGTTACCTCAGCCTATTGGTGTATACCTCGGTAATTGCTTATTTCGTAGTATGTTGTGCATCAGTTTGGTCGAAGTCTTGTCAGTTTTATAATAGTTTAGGAAGGCGATAAATTTTGACCATGCTATGTTTTCGTTTTCGATGATGTCTATTGGAGCATGCGAGTTTTTTTGTAAAGTCAAGCAGGGTTCTCAGCATTATCGTTGCCGGATCTATCCCTAATGTCCCGGGGTTTGATAGTCTTGGAGCTCCTTACATGACTCGCTGGAGCGATCTATACTCTGCAGCGACAACGAAGCCGTCAAAAGCTATTAATAGCCTTTAAATGGGCGCTTCGAGCTAGCAAAAGTACCTCGTTTTCATTGTATATAGGCAATTCATTGCACGCAGGGCTGGACGCCGTGCGTCCGATCAAAATAGTTTGTGTTTGGAAAAGACAGCAGACGGTTAGAAGAATGAAAGTGCGCTCAATTGGGAGACGTGACAATGTCCGCAGTTGGCGTATTCTCTGCGTGTCCGAAATCCTGGTTTAGCTTTCCTCGGTTTTTTTTTCTGTCGAAGTGCGGGAGGAAGCTTTCCAAAGCCTAGCTTAACAAAACTTACTTGCGAAACCTCGCTTTTCCCTTTTTCCTTCAGGGCAAAACTCAAAACAGCGATATGCTCGTTCATCGCTAGTCAATTCTATCCACGCAACGGTACCTATAAGTCGTCACCTAATACCACAATGACATGAAGTCCGGCGCTGACGTGCACCACGCATCATGTTTACGCCATTGTGGTCGTCGTCCTCCTCGTGCGTGGTGTTTGATCTGCTACTGCGAATGTGAGAAGCGAAGCGATGTGATATCCTCATCTTGCAGCGTTTGTTAATGAGAGGACAGCAGTTTTTTGCTCCAGCACTTGGCCTTTCGACTTCTCAATTGTTCTGTATGATAAGAGATAGGGATGTGAGTCATCGACCTTGGTTGAGAGGCGAATCTCATCGAAGGCCGGCCGTTAGAACCAGTTTTTCCTAGTGCGTGAACAATTGGTGAAAACATTGTGAAAGCGCGCGTTTACATTGTTACTCACCTGCTTCTTTTACTTACTTCCGACTTAGAAGCAGTGCAAATGATTCTGACATTGTAACGTACGTATCGATGGTCATTTGGAGTAAGTTGTGAGTGTCAAACTTCCGTGATTCTATTCTCTAAATTCGTGGATGTGACGTTTCTCGTTCATAACATAGTAGTGTATTACATTTTTAGAATGCCGTTTACGTTATTCTTACGCGACACGGCAACCGCGGATGCTTTATTTTCTGAAGCTTATGCCAGCATCGATCAAGGATTATGTTATGAAGAGGATGGCGATAAAGTAAGATCGGTTTATTATTGCGACATGTTGAGGCTAAATAGGTTTCAATATTTTTAGTTTTTGAGTGCTTTTTATCTTGATTTTTGCATGCTTTCATCTTGGCTATCCAAGTGCTTTTGACTTTGACATATCTACTTTCTTGGGCTATCAGTTTTGGCATTGTTTCGCAATTTTTCATGATCTGTACTTGACTATCACATTTTACCACATTTTTTTTTCTCAGGAAAATGCAGTGTCGCTCTACCATCGAGGACTCAATCTTATCACGGAAGGAGAGAAAGCCAAAAATGCGAAGAAGAGCGAGTTGTACAAAAATATGATGGAGGCGAAACCAAGCGTTACGCATCGGTAAGTGATAAATAAGCACTTCTTATTAGCTTTGTCGTTGAAGCAGTAGTGAAAGAAATTCTTAAATTTTCGTTGCGGCGGTGTTTGCTCCCTCCATGAGCTTATCATTATTTATACAGTTACTCGCATATTTTCTGCAGCCCTCTCGTCATGTTGGATTATTCGATCAATTCACGTTCGATCATGATGCATCATAGAACACATTGCACAAGTTGATCTTTGACGATGCGGTCATCATTTTGATCCCGTCGAGCTTTAGTGCCAGCAATTAGCAAATACGATTCATTGCCTTATATACTTGTGTTTTTAGAGTGCAAGTGTTGGAGAAGGAAATTGCTGAGGCTGGCCCTTCGAAGGAAAAAGAAATGCTCAGGCAAAAGGAATACGATGAAGTGAGTCTTATTTGCTTCCATTTTTGTATCTCATATTTATTTTTTATGAGGTAAAAGTTGAACTCCGCGAACACTTGGAGAAAGTGGGTGATGCTGAAGCCGATGTTATCTTCTCAATACCTGACGGTGTTCAGTTATTCACTATTGATGTGAGTTACTTATTCACTATTGATGTGAGTTACGTAACTTCTATGCTAAATGCGTTTTTTGAGCCGCTGCGCTGACGTGTCATGCGCATTTTGGGCCTTGCTAATTTGCATCTACTTTGGTCACCATGAATCATTATGAGTCAGAGTTTCTCATAAGTACGATAGCCGTGCTTTCTTGCTCAGACCAGCGGAAGTAATGTTAAAATGGATTGGAATGTAAACTGCTACCTCACATCAGCTTAGGGTCTTCTTTTCTAGCAGCGCAAAAATTTTATGGTAGCTTAGTTTCAGCTATCGATGCCATATTTTGCGTTTACAACATCGTAGTGATAACTTGGAGATCGTAGTGATAGTTTTTGGTCGCACTGACACCATAAATTGTCGTATTGTTTTCTCACCATCATTTCAGGGCGAGAAGACCACGACTCCAACCCATCCAACATCTTTACAAATACTGCGTTTCACCAAGAACAAATCTAAAAGTGGCGAGATCGACATACCTAGAGCTGATCAGCCATCGGCGCTTATTCAGGTATTTGTATAGTGTTTTCTTTTTGAAAATGTACCACCTTTGAATTGATTTTCCGTCAAACTGTGACGTAACAAGCGTCAGATCTTGGAGACATGTTTTTTCTCTATTTTTGGTCGTTTTTATGATCACTTCTGTGGTTACCTCATCGTTTTTGAGGTCGGACCATGGGTTTATCCCTTAGTTACCGGACAGACTCCAATACTGCGCAACGACTTTGGAGCTTATGTTGTTTCTAATCCAACACCAGATAATCCAGGTAAGTTACCCACATACTCAAAGAACTTTGACTATAAACATAACCCTAGGACTGGCTGTCGCCATTGTGCTGCCATCTGATGGAGGTGAGAAGCTGGATGAAGAGTTTCGCCAGGTAAGTTAATGAATTATATTTAACTTTTGTACATCAATCTTCTAGGTCTTAAATAGCTTTGCCGTACTTCGAGAACAGAATGTAAAGAAGGATTTCTCTGAAGCTGAAAAGAGCCGTATCAGCAAGAAGATTGCACAGCTTTTGATAACTGGTTTGTTGTTTAAATTTTTTTCTACAAAGTAAAATAACAATTTTAGGTGGCGAAAAAATCGCCTGGGGTGTAGAGACCACAGCTGTCAAAGTTACATCGTATATAGACGAGAGAGGAGAAAGGTAAGCACGTTCTGGTTGTCTATGACAATTTTCAGCATTCGAGGAAATTAACGAGTGCTTATAGAATTTTCTGAAGTTCCTTGGTGGTAGAATGGAATTTTCTGTAGGTATTTTTGTTTTGGCAGTAGCATTCTCTAGCAAAATTTGGCTTCCGCTCCTAGATAGCGAGTCGAATCATACTTATGACGATTTTTTTCGCCAATGTCCAACTTCAAGTTTGTTGCCATTTTCAAAAGTGCAAGTCGCAATGCCTCGCTGCATGATAGATTGATAAGCTTACATTGTTTGACTGTTCCATTTGACTTCAGTGTGCTGGTGGTAAAAGCGATCATGCAATGATTAGCAGCGACTGGTTGCCTACGATAATTTTTTTTCAGAATGCGAGCCGGAATGGAACCTTCAGAAAAGCCTGTTTATATAAATCCAGCTCTCAAGGGTAGCCTTCTGTATATGCACAAAGGATCGAAAGTAGTGGCGAAATGCACGAAATATTTGCGTACGTCGTCTTATCTGTTTTAAGTCTGGAGAACTCTGACAGTCCGTACAAATCGCTATCATTTAGTGGACAAGGTTGGAGACATGGGTATATCTATTGGACGAACCGTCGCCACTGGTATAGAGAAAACTCTTGGCGGCCAAGGAAATGGGGAAGGAGTCGTATCTGGAACAATATGTAAGAAATTTAACGCTTCAATGATTAGGGAGCACAAATGCAAAGTAATTTTATACAGCTATACTCGGGGGAGGTATCACCGGTATCAGTACGGTATGGATGGCTCTAGAGAATAACAGCCGTGTTCTTTGTCGTAATATTGCTGATCAAACAGTACAGACTGTCAAGTTAAAGTTAGTTTTGTTTCGCTAATATTTACTTATTGAAATTCCATACGCAATTCTCTGAGATCCCACTTCTATAGGTACGGTGATGATGCATCTCAAGTAACTGAGCATGCTTTGCATACTGCTGGCCATGGATCATTAGCCGCTGCACAGCTATGGGATCTAGGTCCTCGCAGTGTTGCTGGTCGCATGGCGCGCCGTGCTGGAGTACAGGTTAGTGATTTGAAGAATTATCTCAGCGCTGTTACATATGGACCATGTGCTTATGTACAGTCTAGCCTAGTTGTTGATCGAAAGCGGCTTGAAATCTGATTGATCATTTTTCGAAAGGGGACCATATTCTCATTTTTTCCTAAAAAAATCACTTTGTTATGTCTTTTGCAATAAGTTGTTAATCCCATGTAATGCATGCATAAATCGTCGGTTACTGGAAAGCGCGATTTCTGCGTACTTTATGTTGCTTATCATACCGCGCAAACGCGCCGCGGCCCTGACCGTTACTACACATGTCACCTGCGTTCTAACTTTTGTACGGGACTTTGTTTGTTCTATTTGGTTGGATTCAGTAAATTTGGTATTCGAAAATGTTCAAACTTGGTTTCTATCTTTTCTTTCTAATTACAAATTCAGTTCAATCCTGTGCACGGCTTTTTAACTTTATATCTCTTGATGCTGCAGCATCTCAAGCTATCTCAGATTTTCGCAGTGTTCAAAGACAGTGGAAGTACGATATCACTTCAATATTATTTTCCCTAATGCTTCTGTAGAGCCGCTTTCTTGGATGCTTGTTTTCCACCCTGCAAAACTCATCACATAATCATACAATTTCAGTTCGTCAGGAATTTTATTACAGATGGTAAAGGACCTGCATGAGTATCGACTTGGAGAAGATCTAGTGGTGAAGACAAATTCGCGTTATTTGTGAAATTTAGTCAATACGAAAATACTTTATTATGTAACTATACCTTCTGGAATAATAATTGTTACTTGTTCAGAGCTTGAAGTTTACTTTCAAAAATAATGAGATTATCCAGTGTATTTCGCATAAAATTGGGGGCCGGTTCTAGTCTTGTCATAATTCCACAACGATCTTCCTTCTCGTTTTTTTTGCTCTATTATTCACTCAGTAATCGCTCATAAAACTATATGTGCACTTCACCTTGCCAGTCATAATTCAATAGTATTGCAACGAGTTGTTATGATAGTCCCAGTGTACAGAAGTTTTTTTTTTGTGATAAGTATTCGATAGATTGTATTATTGTTGAAAATAAAAGTTTTGATTTGAGCTAAAAATGTGCATGGGGAAGTGTTCATCGTTGTTCTACCACAGTATTTTTGATACCGCATTTTTTTGCAAAATCTGATGTTGTAACCTCGTGCAGAGATGGCTGCAAAATTAGTGAAGGCCAAAGTAGGAAAAATGAAGAAGAAAAAGAAGATCATGTGAGTTCAGATTTGAGGTGAAGGCTAAGATTATCAACTATGTATGAAAACAATTATAATTGGCAGGTGGTTTCTTGTTCCAAATAATCAAAAAATTAAAATTTTTCCAAAGTTCAAACTAGGCCCTTTCCGAAAATGTGGGCTGTTGACCCAATGGAAAGTAGGAACATTGAGAAAATTCCCGGGGAAGGTGGCTCCTTCGTTCTAAAAAAAATTCTGTCGCTTTTCACCTAACCCCCCCCCCCCTCCTTCGCCCATCCCCCTCGAACCAATTTTCTACGACGACCATTGATGTCCGGCGATGTGTGTTCGTCGCAACCTACCTAAACCTATTAGAATGTAGTGATGTAGTTTTTAAAGGAGTACATGTTGTTCAGGAAGGAGAAAACTCAAGAATCTGCAAACGAAGGTATACGTGAAGAACCATTTTCAGTGCAGGAGCGCAAGGATGTAGTGACTGCAGAGATGTCTGATCATGACGATAAGCCTGCATCAGATGCAGGTTGGTTATTTGGCTTAATGTCGGAAATCTGTCATAGAATTTGATCCTGCAGGTGAAGGACATTCAGATGTGCCTGAGTTAGAAGACGATGAAGAGGATTCGCCAAATATTGAGAAAAAGCAGCGAAAAACCGGGGTATGTTTTACTGACATACGTTTGAGATCGAAGTATGAACCTATTGGGATTTAGGTGCTATATTTCTCAAGAATTCCTCCGAAATTCACTCCATCACGCCTTCAGGAATATTTTGAGCGTTTTGCTCCTGGTATGATTGGGAGAGTCCATTGCACTGTAGGTTATTCACAACAGTCAGTATCGAGCTCAGTTCTCCATTTCTTGCTATCTAGGCCTGCAAGGGAATTTGCACTTGCACCGGCCTCCGCTATTGAACATGGCTTATTTGTAAAGAAATGCGTCATCTAGACGTCCCCGTATGAAAAAAGTTTCCAGAAAAACAAGAATGCAAAGACGATTGAAAATCGTTTCTCGGAAGGTTGGTTGGAAATCAAAAAGAAGAAAGTTGCCAAAATGTTGGCTGCTCGATTTGATAACACTCCTGTGGGAGGCAAGAAAAGAGATTACACCTCAAGCGTATTATGGAATATCAAGTATCTTAGCTCGTGAGTATTATCTCGACTTTCGCTTTCGCTAGTTTTTGAGAATAATCTTACCTCAAAATCAAAGTTTTTTTTTTCAGTTTTAAGTGGGTCCATCTTATGGAACAGTTACAGTTTGAACATGCGATCTCAGCTCATCGCATGAGCGCTGAAATAGCTCAAGCCAAAAGAGTCGCTGCTTTCTTTGAAGAACAAGTTGAGAAAGGACGGCATCTCAAAAGACTCGAAGAAAAGGTAAATCAATTACTTCAGTTTCAGGCGCCTACATCTGTCCTCGATTTCCCTTTTGCAGGCACTTAAAGCCAATGGAATGTGGAGTAAATTCCAACGTGAAATCGAACAAAGAAAGGTCGTAAAAACAAAACGGAAAAAGCTGAAGTCGAGCCAGTCTCATTCTGCAGCGAAGGACGATGATGTACTACAAATGATCTTTGCTGAATAATCTAACTAATTGTGTCTTGTTATTTTGTTGAAGTTGTATAAAAAGTTGAAATGAAGGATTTTCGTTCAGTCTCAACTAAGCATATTCTCAAAGAGTGCGCTACAATTGTGACTTAGCGCTTTAGAGGCAGAGTAGAGACAATATGTCGCTAGGCTCCACCCGCGCGGACAATTAGAGCTAAGCGTAGAAGCGCGTGGCTTGTTGCATATGTCCGTGTTCACTTTGGATCAAGCCCTAACTATCAGATGTTTTCGAAATTGGAGTAGGCAATCAGCTTGCATATAGCTTCAAAGGTCAGAACGTGACTGTGCGCCAAGGTGAAAGATGGTTGAGGTGTTGATAAGCCATGTTATTCATCATTATTGGAGCAATATGTTCATCGCAAGAAGTGGCGCAAAATGGAATCAAGGGGGTGGAGGACATTAGGTCGCCGAAAGAGGGCGGTCCCCGCGGTCATTTGCGACAAATAAGCACCCTTGTACATACGCGGACATGCGTTCCTGCAGGGAATCCGCGCGGGACTCTTCCAAATTCGGCGACCTAATGTCCTCCACCCGAATCAAGGGGGTGGGGGAACGAAAGCCGCCAGGTCCAGCCGCCTCCGCGGACTGCTGGTCCTGGAACGACATGCAACAACGCTGCGAAAGGACCAGCTGGCCGCGAAAGGCGGCTGGACCTGGCGGCTTTCGTTCCCCCACCCGAATCAAGGCTATAAATCTCCAAATGTTCTCGGATGCTGTCATTCTACAAACACAAACTCTGGGAATGATATGATCTAGGCAACGCATAAGACTGGCAAAGCAATCATCTGTGCTAACTGCCTCTCTGCTCGACAGCTATACATGAACTCACTTTTTATTAGGACTGCGATCGAAAACTACGGAAGTGGAGGATCATACACCATAATGAAGAAATGTATAAATTTAATTGATCATCATCAAACAAGGATGCGTTGAAGACATCAATGATTCATTCAAGATTATGAAGTCAATAATTTACATGTATAAATGAACGTTCATTCTCTCACTTTTAATTATGCGTCAGATATCTTGGAGTTGCACTGAACTTCGCATAACCTTTGATGACCTGCAATAGGCACTTTTAGTCGATCATGAGAATTGCAAATGCTTAAACTAATGGCATTACCTTATTAATGGCTTCCAAGAAGTCTTTCTCAGTGGCTACCTTGCGACGTGCTCTAATGGCGAACATACCAGCCTCGGTACACACAGAGCGGATCTCCGCACCTGAAACGAGTTTACGTTGAGAGACTTTAAAAAAAGGAAACAGAATATTGGTTGTTTATGGGACATGGGATACAAAAGCGTGCATTGCTCAATGGTGAAAGGCTAGATCCTGGGCTTAGAGTTATCGATTACTGAGTAATAGGTTATTTAATCAATTCCAGAATTTTTTTATAGATACGGAATACTACGTCACGACCTACTACTCTATGCAATGACTGATCTATAGACAAGCTTACCAGTGCTGTTAGGACACAACCGTGCCAGCAGATCGTACCGGATGTCCCTTTCAACGCTCATCTGCTTGGCATGAATTTTCAAAATGTGTGCCCTTCCTGCCAGATCTGGCAGAGCGAATTCGATCTTACGATCCAAACGACCCGGACGTATAAGAGCAGGATCAAGGGTATCAGGACGATTCGTTGCCATCAGAACCTAAAAACAGATTTTGAGATCTTCATTGCAAATAACAATGACTAGTGCATATATACCTTTATGTTTCCTCTTGGATCAAAACCATCGAGCTGATTGATGAGTTCCAGCATCGTACGTTGCACTTCATTATCACCTCCTTGGCCATCGTCAAATCTGAATTACATAGTAATTTAAAACAGAGCTGAGGCATGAATAAAGTAAATCTTAACACAATGAGTGGATTATGTAACCAGAATCATAACTTATAATAACGGGCTAAAGGTGTTTACGTGTTTTTGTGTGTGTGTGTGTGTGGTGTGTGTGTGAGTGTGTCTGTTACGAAATTCGTAGAGCAGATTCCAGCCAACCTCCTGGGCTCAAATTTTGCACAGCGCTTGCTACCCGCATGAAAGTCCAACATGCAAAAGCACGAGCAAATTAGTTGAATGGATCCCTCAGAAACTGCGTGTCAAACGGATCCACTTTGCATTTGGGCCGCAAAATTGGATCCGTAATTCCACTTTTTGCAGAGTCGTGAATGTTTGCGCCAAGTAAATGTGTAAGCCATGAGCTCAGGCCCAAAAAATTGATTAAAAGTTCATTACTTTACAAAAACGGCGCCAAAAAGTATCGGTTGCGTAAATGGTCAATTTGCCAAGGTTTTACCGGAGCGTTTGACAAGATTTTTGCACAAAGATGTAGCTCGGGGGGCTGTTGTTTTTATTGCAACTATCAAGACCATGAGAAAATCAAAAACCTACAAAAATTTCCGTTTGTTCTCCTGCAAAAAGTCTCATCTACGCGAAATCACCGATTTCGCATGAAAAAAGCTTTCGGAATGAGTAGTTGTTTACATTTTGTTCGTGATAGTCGGCATTGCTTAGTAAGTTCCAATACCATCATTATGCGAGAATAAGTAGGGCCTAGATAGTAGAGCCAGTGCGAGCCTCTGCGAAGCAGAGGTGACGCACTGGTATGAAAAAAGCTTACCGCGCTCCTCCTACAGCATCGATCTCGTCAAAGAAGATTAAGCAGGCTTTCTTAGATCGAGCCATTTCGAACAATTCTCGTACCATACGTGCTCCTTCGCCAACATACTTTTGTACCAACTCTGAGCCGATTACACGGATAAAGCAAGCATCCGTCCTGTAACCAGTCAAGAAATTATAAATGTACTGTGGTATCCACACTTGCTATACGATTTATGGATGTAGAAGTCATATGATTTAGAAGTAAAAGTGCGAAATTATCATCAATTACCTGTTAGCCACAGCACGAGCGCACAATGTTTTGCCAGTTCCAGGTGGTCCATAGAGAAGTACACCTTTGGGTGGCTCGATACCAAGATTGACGAATCGTTCAGGCTACAACAGAAGCTATTAATCCTAAAGTTGCGTGAAAAATAGCCTGCTAACAAAGTTGCAGACTACCACTGTCCAAAGAAAACAAAAAAAAAATGACGCACATGAAGAAGTGGAGTTTCGACTACTTCTCGGAGCTTTTCGATTTGCTCTTTGCAACCTCCGACATCAGCGTAAGTTACATCAGGTTTCTCTTCAACCTAGAAGTAGCTGCTATATGGCGATTATCATATGACCAGTGCGTCACCTCTGCTTCGCAGAGTTTCGCTGGCTCTACTATCTACGTGCCTTACTCATTCTCGTAAAATCGTGGCACTGCAACTCACCGCGCTATGCCGACTACCACGAATAAAATGTAAACAACCACTGATTTAGAAAGTCTTTTCACGTGAGATCGGTGATTTCGAGTGGATGAAACTTTTCGCAGGAAGACAAACGCAAATTTGAATATGTTTTTGGATTTGTCATGGCTTGGTAGTCGCCATAAAGGTAATAGTAACCGTGAGCTACATCTCTGTGCGAAAATCTTCTCAAACGCTTAGCTGGAACCTTGGCAAGTTGACCATTTACACAACCAATTCATTTTGGCGCCGTTTTCGTTATGTAGTAAACTTTCGACCACTTTTCTGGCTAAACTCCATCGCTTGCACATTTGCTTATCAAACTCATCCACGACTCTGCAAAAAGTGGTGATACGGACCGAATTTTGCGGTACAGAAGCCAGGTGGACCCGTTTGACGCGCAATTTCTGAGGGATCAACTCAACGAATCTGCTCGTGCTTTTGCGTATTGGACTTTTATGCGGGTAGCATGCTCTGTGCAAAATTTGAGCCCAGGAGGTTGGCTGGAACACGCTCCACGAATTTCGTAACAGACACACAAACACACACACACAAAGTCACATAAACACCCTTAGCCCGTTATTATAAGTCATGATATGGAGAAACAGTATTATTTACCTGCATCATGGTGACAGTGGGATCTATTTTAGCTGGTAGCGGCAAGTGAATCTGATACTTGTTGCGATCCACGCCAACTCTCATTCCTTCCTTTAAAAATATATTTCAATGAAAAGACTATATGTAGAGCTCGGTTCTTGGAAGGGACCTCGATATCAGTGGGAGCAACTGTATCAGCTAGGTCGACGACGAATTTTGCAAACTGTTTCACATTGATCATATATCGCGGATCGTGGCCTTCTCCGGTGATGATTTTTGTGCATCGAGCGACCTAGGAAAGTATATCATCAAGATAAAATCGAATTCGATGTAAGAATTCAATGAAAATAATGATTGAGCATTTGAGCTAAAGCAGATGGACCATGGAGGAAGCATTGCTCTCCAGAATCGTTGCTCACTGTAAGCTAATAAACTAGTCATCTAGAGATATAATCTTGCATTCACTTTACTATTATGAAGGAAGAATGAGACAATGAAAAGTGTACGGTAGAACGAGAACTATTCTGTAAATTGCACACGTCGGATAGACGGATCAATAAAGGAAGTGTTCAGTTTGCAACTTATGAGATCAGCTTTCCAAAATTGACATATCCATCCGGTTCTGCAACGAAATTACCTGCAGAGGTTGCTCCTGCTGCATGGCTTGCTTGTCGGCCGCGATATCCCATAATGCCGGTGGTGCCAAACCTGTGTCCGATTCTTTCACTCCCGACAATTCGTTCACCTAAGTTTGACAGCGTTGTTGCGGAAGTAGTCCTCTAGCGATCCATATAACAACACAGGTGTTTTCCAGCGAGGTACTAAACGAACCTTCTTGACACAATCTTCAATATCAGTCTCAAGCTGCTTCAACTGTTCAGCATAAGGTCCTTGCCCGTACCGTTTCAAAACAGCAATATCTCCTTCATCCAATGCTAAACAAAAGTTATCATAATGGAAACGACACATGTGCAAAATATTTTCACGCACCTTGGAAAGGCTTGTCGTCATCCGCATCAACATCCTTCTTCTGCTTTCGCATATCGGAACCAAGATGATCAGGCATGGTGTTACGTACGGCTGCTGTTTATACAACCAGTCCGTGAGAGGTACTACTAGAAAATATAGCGTAGCTTGACTAAAGAAAACACTCGCAGTTATGAGAAGATAACGCAGCACTGTTAAAAAACTGGAACATAATCAAGTCTACAAAATATCCTGTGTCAAACAGCGGTAAGATTGACGGTATGAATAAGGTGGTCGAAAACTTAAAAAAGTTAGAAGCGCAGAAACAAACACTGCACAGCAGACAGATGACAATACGCCGATTCTGCAGTGCTCTGCGGCCAACCGACGTTCGCGGGCGCGTTTCCGCGGAGGGTTGGCACAGAGCGCCGAATCTTTACGGCCTGTCTCAGGCCTGTCAGACCAAAATTGTGTGATGCGCATCTGCTTCGCATCAATTTTGCGTCGTGTCTGCGAATCGCGTTACACTTTGCAGAAGTTTTTTGATGGAGGGTAGGCAAGGAAATCCTTGCAGTAGTTAGCTGGAACGTTTGCAAAACATCGACCTGGGAGGGGATGAACCTTCCTTGGACTAGCGAGAGACAGACTCGATCGCCTTGCTCCATGCTCCCCTTATCAACGTGTATAGGGCGATTCGCACGACCATAGTGCTTTCCACACGGACCGCTGCCGCTCGTGCACACCCTGCGGCGACTTTTAGCTATGCAAAACGGAAGGGAAGATTTGCTGCATGCATTACATGTTAAGACAAATCAAAATTAGGTGCGAAAAGACCGTCTCCCCTTCTCAACGGCTATCATCGACTCCACGATTCATGCAGAGACGCGATTTTGCCCGCTCAAAGCGTGGCGGTTTTTGGCGGCGAGGGAATACGAAAAATGCTATAACGTAGATTTAACAAGTTTATCCTTAAAATCAGGAAAAGTCCGCAACCCGCCTTTACACGAATCGGGGATGCGATCATACCTTCCTGAGCTAATTGATCCTGGCGACAGCGGTGACCTGACATGGCGATACACGTTAACAGCTAGCAGAAAACGGTAAGGCAAGCGAACAGGTCAATACATGGTAAGAAATGTGGCACTCAACATATATCGATCATTTATTTCAGCCACCTATATTTCTGCTAATCTATCCACCACGAGGATTTCTAGGATTAGGTGAGTTTTTATCATATAGTGAATCCATTTTTTCACAGAAGTCTGTTTTTCCTCACTTGGCCTCGTTTAGTTGCATTTTTGAGGGAAATGCATCATTTTTGTATAACCTGACTATCTGTTCATTCTTGATGCATTCTCGCTATTAATTGTTCACAACATTAGTTCTATCCCTGTGCAAGTCTTTCTCAACCATCTTGTCCAAACTCCCGTTCATGTGCAATGTTGTGAGCAAAACATGACTTCGTATTGTCTTCGCTAAAATCTTTCATTCTCCTGCACTTTTCTTGCACTTGCGTTCTCGATCGCAATCTACCGTATCTCACATTCAACAAACTCTACGCAAATTTTGTATATAATTTTTCGTTTCTTTTATGAAACTGCCCAGAAATTCAAATTCGCAAGCGTAAATCTTTTCTTTGTGCACTTGTCGTTGTCCGTGCCCCAAGCTGGCGGCTAAATCACGCAATAAATTTCCCTTTGTCTATCATAAACATAGTCTACATGCAGGGTCATCGGCAGCTGGTTTCCATCACGACAGCCCATGGAAAATCCGCAGGAATTCTCTAGTGTAGAACCAAAGTCTTTTATTGTCGCGTCTTTCAGAGCGCGTCAGCTGGACTACATAGTTTTTGCCTGCCAGCCCAAAAACTTCAACAAATTGGCAGCCCAGCAGCGGAATGCCATTCCAGCGCCAGTTCCGTTTGACATGCGAAGAACAAGTAACGATGACCGTGAACTGGTCGAAAGCAAACTATCGAACTTTGAGATCTTTAGGACGAGCCCAGCTGAAGTTTTAGCCGCCTGTGGATCAATTTCAGGAACCGTAGCACAACGGACACCGATCTGCACCCGTGCGTGTGGGAATCACCAGACCTGAATGCTTCCCGATCATGGCTAAGTTTTCCGTTACATCAGTCAAAAGACCGTGTGGGTTGTAGGTAGGACAATTAGAGGAGCGTACATGTCCGATTTTCTTGAAGGTCAGATTGACCATATTGAATTGGGCACCGAATTTTTTGAAGTGAAAGCAAAGCTCCAAACTAGCTCCGGAGTGCGATTTCGCACGTATATAATAAACTCTAGGACAGGACGAATTGCAGTCGGCACATCAGTGCACACGATGGAAGAGCGTGCCAATCCTGTTTTGAAGATGCTGGACATTGTGGACTGTCCAATCTCTTCCATCCAGGAACGTTCGGCTGGAATTCAGCCAGAGCTCTACTTGTAGGAGACATTGGCCTGAAAGGAATCCCGAATCAAGAAGGGATTACCGTCAATGTGGCAGGGACCTCCGCACAGCCAAATGACCATCAAGTCCATGCGGTGAACACATTCAATAAAAACTACCCGCTAATGGTGGTCGACAGCGCGTACGGAGCGGGTAAGTCTCTTTGCACCGCAGTAATGGTGTCAGAAGCAGTCAACAATGACGAAAAGATCCTCGTCACCACAGTAAAGAACAGTGCGTTGGACGTAATTGGATCCAAAATCGCGCAAGCAGAAAATACCCAGCCAGTGCGCTGTCGAGACGCAGATTAATTAGAGTCCGACAGTCCCCTCGCCGACTGGGCGGTGCCACCAACTTCAGATGAGCTGGCACTCCCCGGGTGCTCGGTGGTCCCCTCCCCAATTATGTCCCCCACATTTATATTTATGCTATAATGATAAAAGAATCTAGTCAGAACTGTTATGTTAGTACAAGAGGAAAGAAACTGAGGGTAGAGGGATCAAGTTAAGAGAATAGCTAACTCTTTAAACTTGACATGGAGGTCCCGGGTTTTTCTGAACGAATTTGTCGCATAACTTTTCTTCAAAAAAAGTGTAAGCATAGATTTTGCGCAGATCTTTGCTAATCCCACCACCGGCACCAGCCCTCATCTCCTACGTGAATTACGTAGCCCTTTTTCATATTTACCCTTTCCTTTCTCTTTTCCCTTGAGTCCAGGCGATGGGTCTGAGTGTGTTTTTTTCTTATTTTGTCATATTTTTCGTGTCATAGTGGGTAATGAATATAATCATGTATTCTTTACCTACTATGTGTTTGACAGTCTTTTTTTGTTTCATAGCAGATAATGAATATATTACTATATTGAATATGGTAGATGGTATTTTTTATCTGCTGTGATTCCTTACAGTTTTTACCGTGATACCACGTGAAGAACCGTAAATATTTACTCTTTCTTCCTCTAGCCCCCTTTCCCCACCCTATTTATTTAGAAACAAATCTAAAACTTTTCATTTTTCCAAAACATATTTTATTTTGTAACTTTCACATTTTCTCTTTCATAATCTATTATCTTTCCAAAACATGTAAAATTCATTTTCACAACCATTTTCACCATATTTCGCCTACAACTTTACACATTATTTCCAGTCATTTATTTTCTTCTTTCTCACTTTCCATCGTTATTTTTTTTACACAAACTCAGGGACTCTATCGCCAACGCCGGCCATACATGTGAAAAAACGATAATGTGTTCCTACCCCCTTCACCCCAGGGCCGGAACCCAGCTGACCCCCCTTCACCCATGGCCGATAAGGAACTGGAAAAAGTGAGACCAAGAAATCAACGTTTTAAGCAAAATTACAAAACTATCGGCATTATCAAATTCAAATTTAGTGAGATGTTGATTCTGAATATTATTACTATGATTGTCAAAACTTACTTGAGGCTCATGAGAAGTACAGCGGAAATTTGCCGCCTATTGTTCACTTCTAGAGAAAGATGAAAAAGCCTAGAGAAAAATTTACGTGTGAAGCCTTTGTGTATACACGTCAATAAGTTACTACCTCACATATTTGCTGAAGTAATAAGTGAAATAATAAGTGAACTTTGATGATCGGTGCGCAGTTGAATTGCATTCTTTTTAAGAGGTATAAATTTTCTAAGCAATGGCGGAATCCGTGGAAAGTCATTTCATGATTCGTTGAAGAGTCATTGTTCCAACTTTTAATATTATTTCTAAACTCCGAAAGAGATCGTAACATTTGCGTAGAGAAGCAGGTGCAACAAGAACATCTATTACATCGAAGAGTTGGTGTAATCAGGGTTAGTCTTACTGTCAAAATGCTATAGCTACGAGGATCGTGGAGTTCTACAATCCGCCTACTTGGACGATGATAAGGACGAGGAAGGACAGCCAGTGATGCATTTTTCTACGTTGGAGCATTATACAAGAGGAGAAGAACAATCGCATATGATCACTGCGTGATTATTCTGAAAAAGATTTTGTTTTCCATCGAAGAAGAGAGAAATATAAAAGATCTTAGAAGGAGAACTCAGTCATAATCAGCTTACTCTAGTTTAGAAGTCTACTTTTCATCCGCTTTCAGAAAACAACAGCTTGCCAGGAAAAAGAGGGGTTTTTCCTGCTAAACAGAAATAGTTTTAGTCATTTTTTCAAGATGTAGAATTTTTCTACAAAAAATTGTAGATTTTTGATATGAGAAGATAAGAGAGTCTCAGGCCATACATTGAATTACTCTTGTTGAAAGCTTCCAGAAAATATATAGCTTAGCAAGAAAGAAAGGATTTTCCTGTATTGTGAAGGTGGTCGCATTTGTTTTCTAAAATTAAGGAATTTTTTTTATAAAAATTCATAACTTTACTATACGAAAAGCTAGAAGAGTGTTTTGCACTCTCTTGGAATCCCCTCGTTGTCCGCTTTCAGGAAATATATAGTTTGCCAGGAAAAAAGAGGATTTTCCTATCGGGTGAAAGGGGTCGCGTCTATTTTTCGGAATTAAGCCAAATTCTAACTCTAAAAAATCATAACAATTTTATATGAGAAGCTAGGAGAGTGGTTAGGAGTTTATTGAATTCCTCTCGTCGTCCGCTTTCAGAAAATATATAGGTTGTAGGGAGAGGGATGCTAAAAGTACGTGGTGAAAGGGGGAGGAACATGGTATAATGGAAATGTTCCTTTCTGTACTCCAAAAGCGTCGTTTTAAGGA